CCCCGATGGGGAGGACTGGGCTGGCTCTGCGGGCTTCTCGGGGTGGAAGTTCTCCTGCAGCCCCCCGATTGCCTCCTCCCCCTGGATGGCAGCCTGTGGCAAGTGCAGCCGGGCTGATGGCCGAGTGCTGTGATGTGCCCAGTGTGGGCACTCAGGGCACTCCAAGACAGGACTGCTTTGCAAGCGGGGCACCCCTGAGAACTGTCTGTCCGGGGTGGGGGTCGGGTCCCTTTAAGCACAGCCCTCGGCTAGCCTGAGGCAGCAGCTCCACGCTCTAAGTCCTCATCTGATGCCCTGCCGGCACTGCTTCCGGCCATCCTTAGCCCCGGTTCAGGGGCCACTTAATGTGGACATGCTAGTTCGAATTAGCAAAACGCTAATTCGAACTAGTTTTTTAGTCTGGATCCGTTAGTTCGAATTAGCTTAGTTCAAATTAACTAATTCGAACTAAGTTAGTTCGAATTAGTGCTATAGTGTAGACCTACCCATAGAGATTTCACAGGAGTAGATAAAAACTGCCAGATATTTATGATCACATGATTTCCCATCCCTTAGTGATATTGTGAGACAGTTTGCCGCGGGCACGGAGTCCGAACTACCGGGGCTTTAAAAATGGCGGTGCCCGGCAAGATGCAAATGATGCCCGGGATATTTAAATCCCGGGCTTCATTTGAAACTTCGGTTGCCTACATTAACCACCCTAGTTCCAACTAGGGTGGTAGTGTAGACATACCCTCAGATATTTTTAAACCCACTATATTGTATACCTCCAGTCAAGAAACAAGCATTTTTTCTTTGGTGATAGGAAAGGAAGTTACAATTTTTTTTAAAGACCATCAACTCTGACTAACAATCTCATTAACTTAAAAAAACAATATTTTATCCTGGATCTTACAGTGATTGTACTAAAACCTTGTAACTGAATCTTTTTAATTATCACATGTCAATATCACCAAGCTGTTCCTGAGTGCTTTTCTTAGCCTAGGGTAACTGCTTCCAAAGAGACATTAAAATCTGATCTCTCAAAAGTCCTTGAAAGGAGGGAGAGGCTTTTTTTATTATACATTAGCCAAAGAGACTTTGTGTGTGTTTTCTCCTCACTTGATTTGTGCTCACACCAGAAAACTTGAATTCATTTTCAAAATTCAGGAATTTGTTTGTTAGAGGAAACTAACAAACAAACAAAACCACACACATTGCTAAAGAACCAATTTGAAGTTATTATAATTTAAAGTAACAAATTTACTTGTAAATTCTTAGAGAACTCATTCTGTATCCTAAGGATAGGTGTTCTGCATTTGGGAAGACTACATTTGTTATTCATTCCTTATACAAATAGATTTAGAGCCAGATCCTACTTCCCATTCTGGTGACTCAAAGCAGCCATAAAGCCAGTAGACCCAGCACTCTCTGAGAATTTCCCCTGCCTAGCAAATTAAGGCATTTCTCATTCAAAATGTTGGTTACCGCCTTCATTTGTCAAGTCCAAGTAGGATCCCAGCAAGGATCCTTACAATATTAAAATGTATTTAGGCCACAGCTTGCTATAGTTTTACTAGTCCTGTTTTCTTTTTTATAAAGCAATTTACAATATTCCATGTATATTATAAATAAAGGATGAATCTTCTATTTCATTCTAATTGTACATCCTTTTCCCTCGTGTTCTTGCTTCTTTGGGCGAGGTGATACAGAAAAGGAATGGGCCACTGAGTTCAGTCCCATACTCTAAAGAACATAGTATCCTCTCCTGCTTCTGCTGAAAGTATGTGAGTTTTGCAGTTTTTGCAGTTCACTTTTATGGTTACAGGATTGGATCCATGGATTGCAACCTGTCAGGATGCTGTTGGCAAGCTAAAAAGAACATAAAGGAGTAATACAAGCCAGCAACGTAAACCAATTCATAGTCAGTTTGAAAATGCCTTTTCCCCCTTCCTTTAATACTTCAGCTCATAAATGCAACAGGTTATATACTATGCGATCTGAAAATGTATTGCTTGCATAATGACAAGATGCCCAATAGTACTTTAAATGTAAGGCCTGTTCTTATCTTCATGCCCTTCATCTTGTATACATCAAGTACAAGCCATTATCTTTAGCAACAGTGTTCTTTATTTTTCAAACTGAATTAGCAATATCATAGAAACTTTGTTAGACATAGTAGTTAGAAGGAATCCTGCCTTAGGGTACGTCTAGACTACAGACTTTTGTCGACAGAAGTTTTGTCGACAGAGCATCTACACTACATTCAGTTCTGTCGACAAAGCAAGCTGCTTTGTTGACATGGTAGCGTAGATGCAAAGGACAGTTTACATGCAATAACACCTTCTGTCGACAGAAACTCTGTCAACAGAAGGCGTTATGCCTCGTAAAATGAGGTTTACCAGCGTCGACAAAACTGCTGAGTTCTGTTGACGTTATGTCGACAGAACTCAGTGGTAGTGTAGACGCAGGTATAGTTTTTCGACAAAAGTCCACTTTTGTCAACAAAACCCTGTAGTCTAGACACACCCTTCGACTTCAGTTTTCACTGATCAGTCCCGATAGTCTGTTCACTATCGTCAATGCTGTCCATTTGTATAGCTCCTATTGTGTCTACCAGGCTGTGCTCTGGAATAATTGCTAGAGGGCGATACCCCAACTGTGCTTTCTCAATGCACACTTAGTTGTAATGGTTTTGTTTGTGAGGCCTAATTTCTGTATATACAGGCAGTCCCCGGGTTACGCGGATCCGACTTATGTCGGATCCATACTTACGAACGGGGCTTTTCTCGCCCCGGAGGACGTGGGCGGCGGGACCGCCCAGACGCGCCGCGGTCCCGCTGCCCGCATTTACATTTCTCCTTCCCTCCTTTATAAGAACATTATGAACTTTAATGACCATATGGCTCTTTGAAAGTGTAAAGTACAATAGAAATGCTGATATTGTTATTGATTACCTGAGTATGCGTGGGAGGAATGTTTCGTCTACCATAAATTCCCAGTAGAGAGTCCTTTGCAAGTGAAATGTTAAATTTCAGGTACATCGGGTGATGGATAGTGATCTGAAAACGCCAGAATAAACCTGGTGGGATGGTCTGCATAACTTGTGCTCCAATGTCAACTTCTCCTGTGTCTATAGCTCGTCCTTTCTGAAACACTGATTTTCCAGAAACAGAAAACAATCACTTATCATAGTCACTAAGTGTGAAAATAATAGTAAGATAGGTAATAATGGGTTAGTATTAATATGTATGCATTGTTAATAATTAATATTAATTGTTGGAAATTGGTTTATTATTATTTAGTTAATCCACAAATGTATTCATTTGCATGTGAGATTTGCAGCTACACACTGTCAAACTCTTTAGACTCTAATGACTGTAGAGGAGTCTCTATGTAACTGGGAAAATGAAAGTCTTTACAGGCAGTCCCCAGGTTACGTACAAGATAGGGACTGTAGGTTTGTTCTTAAGTTGAATCTGTATGTAAGTCGGAACTGGCGTCCAGATTCAGCCTGTTGAAACTGATCAGAGGGTGATTCCAGGAAGCCCGGGGCAGAGCAACTCTGCCTCGGGCTTCCTGTAGTCAGCCGCTGGTCAGTTTCAGCAGTGGCTGAATCTGGACGCCAGTTCCGACTTACATACAGATTCAACTTAAGAACAAACCTACAGTCCCTATCTTGTACGTAACCTGGGGACTGCCTGTAAAGACTTTCATTTTCCCAGTTACATAGAGACTCCTCTACAGTCATTAGAGTCTAAAGAGTTTGACAGTGTGTAGCTGCAAATCTCACATGCAAATGAATACATTTGTGGATTAACTAAATAATAATAAACCAATTTCCAACAATTAATATTAATTATTAACAATGCATACATATTAATACTAACCCATTATTACCTATCTTACTATTATTTTCACACTTAGTGACTATGATAAGTGATTGTTTTCTGTTTCTGGAAAATCAGTGTTTCAGAAAGGACGAGCTATAGACACAGGAGAAGTTGACATTGGAGCACAAGTTATGCAGACCATCCCACCAGGTTTATTCTGGCGTTTTCAGATCACTATCCATCACCCGATGTACCTGAAATTTAACATTTCACTTGCAAAGGACTCTCTACTGGGAATTTATGGTAGACGAAACATTCCTCCCACGCATACTCAGGTAATCAATAACAATATCAGCATTTCTATTGTACTTTACACTTTCAAAGAGCCATATGGTCATTAAAGTTCATAATGTTCTTATAAAGGAGGGAAGGAGAAATGTAAATATTAATTTTCCCATCTCCCACAGACTCTTTTAAGCACCAGGCCAATGTAGTACTAATGGTGTTATCAATGCTTATCACCCTAAAATGAGTGGGGAGGGTACAAGGCATTATCTTGCACCAACCAGCAGAGAGGACATACTGTAAAATGCCTCCTGGTTCCACCACTGGGGCAGTGTGATGCTGTGTCTATGTGTTAAGTAAAAAAAGTGAAATCTATGTAGCTTCAGCATTTTTCAAAGTTGAACTCCTAATGTTAGCTTCCTTAGGCACATCCAACAGAGCAAACTGCTCATGTAGTTAGTGTAAAGAGATAAGCAAAAAAGGTATTCTAAATTCTAATAATAATACTACTTCTACATGTTTACTGTTAGTTTAGAATTTGTATGAGGAAACAGCCATGCTAGAAGAACCTAATTCATCACTGTGTATACTTAAATATTTTGTAAGTCTTAATATATTTGGAATATTAATGTAATATTTCTGAAGTATAATTAAATTTTATATCATCTATAATATTGCAAGATCACAATGTTTATGGTCTGTTTTTCAAATATATGTATTTTTATGCCAAGATAAATGTAATGCTAGCATATCCTTAACTTAAATGTTGTGAACAGATAACTAAGGGTTGTTGTTGTTTTTTCTCAGAGGCACTGAACCACTCTGTCTTTAACTGGAGTTGTGACTAAAAATCAGGCTCCAGAATACTTATAAATATTTGAACTATTTTATATTTCCATTAAACAAGAATGTATTGCAAGGTTTTCATCTTTTCAGAAGGACCTAAGACCTGGCTATCCCTCATTGAAGTCACTTGGCTCTGGACCTAAAGCTGTCAAGGGCTACTCAAATGTTACCAATTTTTCTATAGCAAGACATAATTTCATGTGTATTAACAAAACTGACCACAAAGAAAGAGAAATATAGAAACATCTAGGTATCTGGATTTTTAAAAGCCAATTGTTTTTCATACTTGAGTACCAAATATTGGGCTTCAAAATCCGTATTTTAGCTCTAAATCATAGAGGTTTGAGCACTGATGTTAGAAAATGTCAAGTGTAATTCTAGAGATAATTTATTGGCTTCAATCGAGAGATTTCTTATTTACACAGATATAACAGAGATCAGGATTTATTTGTAATAATACCTTCTATTTAGAATGAAGACTGGAACCTTAATAGTGTAGGCGGTGCAACCCCTACTCACATTAGTGAACACTTAATCAAGCAGTTGCTTTGAAGGTAACCCTGTCTGACTGAAATATTCACAGTAGATTTGTCTGGTTTAAAATACTATAAAATTATTTAGTTGGATAATTTTGCCATTATCATTTCAGTTTGATTTTGTAAAACTGATGGATGGAAAGCAGTTAATTAAACAAGAACCAAGGAACTCTGAGGAGCCTCAGCATGCTCCTAGGAATTTGATCTTAACATCCCTACAAGAGACAGGTTTCATTGAATATATGGATCAAGGAGCTTGGCACATGGCGTTTTACAATGACGGAAAAAAAATGGAGCAAGTATTTGTATTAACTACAGCAATTGGTAAGACCAGTTACATTACCATTCCTGTTCTGGTTGTTATGTAAAAAATCTGCATTTGAAAAGGAGTTATTGAGCCTGTTTTCCCATATGCTTTCAACAGGTTTTACTTTCTTTTGATTACATTGACTTCAGTGTATTAACTTCTGCTTTATACCAGAGTAAGAGGAGAATCAGGCACTCATGTTGAAAATGGACATTGTGAATGAATTAAACCTAAATCTATGCTGTTCCTTAAAATCATTACATAATAAATTTTCGGGGGGGGGGGGTCTAATCTTTGCAAGAAACTGCAGGGAAAATGTCTGTTCCTCCTGTGTATGTGGCACCCACACTCTCTCTTTACAAAAAAAGGCATCGTAGGTCTTCTCTCTCTAGTAGGCAAAAATTAATTAGGAAATTGTGCCCAGAAATGTATTGCCATTTTGATGAGGTCCCAGTGGGTACATAACAGAGAACTGGAGGAAGGTGTTTGGCTTGGTACCATTTAAGACATAAGATGACAGGTAGATTGGATCAGGAAGCAGTTGCTAAATGGAAAACAACAATAGAAAAAGAGTGCTAAATTTTGAGGGGTTATTCTAAATAACGGAAAGTCACAAGAAAGCACAGTATTTTTGTAGTTTAAAAAACTGAACCACTTTTTGTTAGAAATATTATGTATTGTTATTTAGCTAACATTATTGGTTTTTAGCACTTAACATTAAAAAGGTGCACTTAACATTAAAAAAGTTGTAGAGCAGTTTTTAAACTAAGAACTTGGGAAATACCAACAGGTGTGGAGGAGCACAGGACTTAGACAGAGACATCTATTAGGGGAGGTTCTATTAATAGAGAGTCTCTATGTTCTAGTGAGGAGGAGAGGATGGAAGTATGGGTCAGATCAAATGAGACACAATCAAATGAAAAAGAGTTAATACATCAGGAAATGGCAGACAGATAAATAGTGACAAATTATTAAAGTGCTTATAAGCAAATTCTAGAAGGCTAAAGGGCTCTAGAGTTGATCCTGGGAATTACAGACCGGTAAGTCTAACGTCAGAACCAGGCAAATTAGTTTAAACTATAGTAAAGAATAAAATTGTCAGACACATGGATGAATATAATTTGTTGGGTGAAAGTCAACATGTTTTCTGTAAAGGTAAATCATGACTTACTAATCTTCTCAAGTTCTTTGAGGAGGGTTAACAAACATGTGGACAAGGGGGATCCAGTGGATATAGTATACATAGATTTCCAGAAAGCCTTTGACCAGGGCCCTCACCAAAGGCTCTTAAGTAAAGTAAACTGTCATGGGATAAGAGGGAAGGTCCTTTTGTGGATTGATAACTGGTTAAAAGACAGGAAACAAAGGGTAGGAATAAATGGTAAGTTTTCCAAGTGGAGAAAGGTAACTAGTGGGGTCCCTCTGGGACCCTTCCTATTCAACTTATTTATAAATGATCTAGAGAAAGGGGTAAACAGTGAGGTGGCAAAATTTGCAGATGATACCAAACTACTCAAGATGGTTGAGACCAAAGCAGACTGTGAGGAGCTTCAAAAAGACCTCATCAAACTAAATGATTGGGCAACAAAATGGCAAATGAAATTTAATGTTGATAAATGTAAAGTAATGCACATTGGAAAACATACTTCCAACTATATATACAATATGATGGGGGCTAATTTGGCTACAACTACTCAAGAGAAAGAACTTGGAGTTATTGTGGATAGTTCTCTGAAAATATCCACTCAGTGTGCAGAAGCATTGAAAAAAGCAAATAGAATGTTAGGGGTCATTAAAAAAGGGATAGAGAATAAGACAGAAAATATCTTATTGCCTCTATATAAAACCATGGTATGCCCATATCCTGAATACTGCATACAGATGTGGTTGCCTCATCTCAAAAAAGATATATTGGCATTGGAAAAGGCTTAGAAAAGGGCAACAAAGGGTCCTATATGAACAGAGATTAAAAAGACTGGGACTTTTCAGCTTAGGAAAGAGGAGACTAAGAGGGGATATGATAGTAGTCTATAAAATCATGACTGGTATGGAAAAAGTGAATAAGGAAAAGTTATTTACTTATTCCCACGATATAAGAACTAGGCGTTACCAAATGAAATTTATAGGCAGCAGATTTAAAACAAACAAAAGGAAGTTTTTCTTCACTCAGTGCACTGTCAACCTGTGGAACTCCTTGCCAGAGGATGTGGTAAAGGCTAGAACTTTAACAGGGTTCAAAAAAGAGCTAGATACATTCATGGAGGTTAGGTCCATCAATGGCTATTCGCCAGGATGGGTAGAAATGGTATCCCTAGTGTCTGTTTCTCTGGAAGTGGATGACAGGGGAGGGATCATCTGAGGATTGCCTGTTGTGGTCCCTCCCTCTGGGGCATCTGGTATCGGCAGACAGGATACTGGGCTAGATGGACCTTTGGTCTGACCCAGTATGGCTGTTCTTATGTTCTAATTTTAAAAGATTAAAAAAGTATAAAATTTATTCAGTAAGAAAAATATAAAACAGTTTTTGCTTCTTTTTTGTCAACCATACAGAGCCAATCTTTGTACACAAATTTCTGCTTCCATTAGGTAAGTATCTGAAGATACTCTGTGTTGTCTTTTGGTGAATCTACCTGCAGTTAATCTTTTTTAATTAATTAAAGAGGGGAGATTGTTTTACTAACTTTTAACATTGTTGGAGTTCAGTTCTCACAAACAGGATCTGTTACTCAAAGTTTAATTTAAGGTAAAGTACTTCAGTATTTCCAACAGTCTTGGTTTGCTATAAGACTTTAACCACTTTGCCCTTTAGTTAACCTGTTCATCCATATGTTTAGCAAGATGTCTTTATTAGTAATGGACATGCCATCTGCTCTGTAACAATTAAGTTCTATTTTTACATAGACCTTGATGTATTGGCCAGTGGAGAGTACCATTCAGACACAAAGATTATCAAGGACTTCATTCAAAGTAATCAGAAAGGCAATAAAAAATTATAATTGTGAATTTAGTTTTAAAGAAGACAAAATTTGTTGTGTTTAGAATGGAAAGTGAATCTCTTATAAGCAAAGGAGACAATTGTTTAATCTTTTGTGTGTGTTAGCCTGCAATTTAGCATTGGAAGAGTTTCCTTTGAATTCTTCCCTCCCAAGAAAAGCTAAAGATAAAGTTTTCCTTCACACTGAAACATCATAGGCTTTACCCATGGCATTCCAAGATTTCTACCATAGTATAATTAGAACATCTAAGAACATAAGGATGTCTATTCTGGGTCACACCGTTGGTCCAGCTACACCAGAGTTCTGGCTTTCAATAGTGGTAAGTGCCTGATGCTCAAAGGGAATAAATACTCCTGGGCAAGATATCAGGTGATCCATCTCCTGTTGTCCAGTCCAAGTTTTTGGCAGTCCAAAGTGTAGGGGGACACAGAGCATGGCAGATGTGCCTGACCATCTTAGTTAATAATTATTGATGGACCCATCCTTCAGGATCTTACATAATTCTTTTTTAAACACAGTGCTATTTTTGGCCTTCAAAACATCCTCTGACAATGAATTCTACAGATTGATGGCATTCTGTAAGGAATTACTTTCTCCTGTTTGTTTTAAACCTGTTGCCATTAACTTCATTGGGTGACCTCTGGTTTTTGTGCTATGTGAAAGGGAAAATTACACTTTATTATTCATTTCTCCAACTATTTGTAATTTTATTGACCTCTATCATATCCCCCTTAGTTGTCTTTTTGTAAGTTGAACAGTTCCAGACTTTTTAATGTCTCCTTCTATGGCAGGGGTGGGGAACTTAAGGCCCGGATGCGCCCCCAGGCTTGCTTGGATCCAACCCTGGGACTCAGGGTTCCCCCCCCCCAGGATTGGAGAGCCCACACTGGCACTGCAACCCTCTGCCACCACCCTATGGGGATGGAGCACACGAAATCTACTAACTTGGGCCCCCCCAGCTCTGGTGTGCAAGAGGAATATGAAGAGTGTCTTTCTCCTTCTCTGTTGGGGGCCACTTCAGTGATGATTTGTTTTGGTTGTTCTGCTTCTCATTTGTGTGCGGCCCCTGACTGATTTTTCTGTGGGTTAGCGGCCCTTGACCCAAGAAAAGTTCTCAATCCCTTTCTATGGAATTGATTCCATACAGCTAACAATTTTGCTGCACTTCTCTGTACTATTTCAATTTTTATATGTCCTTTTTTAGACAGGACATCTACAACTGCACACGGTGTTCAATTTGCAAGATTTACATAGTTGCATTGTAATGCTTTCGGTCTTATTAGCTTTGTTTTTTCTACTGGTTGTTAATGTTCTGTTAGCTTTTTTAACTGCTACTACACATTGAGCAGAAGTTTTCAGAGAACTATTCAGAGATTGCACAATCTCTATCTTGAATAGAACAGCTAGTTTAGACCCCGTCATTTTGTATGTATATTTGAGATTATGTTTTCCAGTGTGCATTACTTTGCATTTATCAACATTGAATTTCATTTGCCATTTTCTTGCCCAGTCACCCAGTTTTGTGAGATCCCTTCACAATCAGCTTTGAACTTAACTATGCTGAGTAATTTGTGTCATCTGCCAACTTTGCCACTTTACTGTTTACTTCTTTTTTTAGATTTACAAATATGTTGAACAGCACTGGTCCCAGTTCAGACCCACTATTTATCTCTCTCCACTGAAAACATCCCATTCAGTTTTACCCTTTGTTTCCTATCTTGTAGGAAGTTACTGATAAATGACAGGACCTTTCCTCTTATTCTGCCTATTATGCTTAAGAGTTTTGTGTACACTTACTTAAGGGTAAGGGACCTTATCAAAGCTTTTCTGAAAGTTCAACTACACTACATCAATTAGAGCAACTTCCACGTGTCCGTTGACATTCTCAAGGAATTCTCATAGATTGATGAGACATGATTTTCATTTAGAAAAGTCATTTTGACTCTAGCAACATATCCTGTTCATCTGTGTGTCTGATCTTTTGAGATTTAGCGTTTCTGCATATCACATCAAATAGGAGTAATTGCACAGAGGTGTCTGAAACAGTATTTTACTTGATGCTTGATTCTTCCTAAAGAACATAAAATGAACAGTTTATGTCTCAGCACCCATTTAGATCTTGAGAAATCTGTTACAAGTGGTCGTGCTGGTGATACTCATTTTAGAAGTCAGTTAATTCCTTTTATTGTTTATAATGTTCTTTATAAATAGAAATCATGGATGACTGCTCCACTAATTGCAATGGGAATGGAGAGTGCATCTCAGGTCATTGCCACTGTTTCCCAGGATTTCTCGGGCCAGACTGTGCAAGAGGTAACTGTTAACTGATTTAAAATACCAGTTGAAAAAAACTGTCTTAGAAAAAGCAACAGAAGTAAATCTGCCTATTCTATGCCCGTAGCCAGAGGATAGGGAGTGAGAGAAATTAAAAAGAGGGAAGTAATTTTTTTTTCCAAAAACAGAAATATCACCGCCTTGGTATATTAAGGTGTCAGAGTTAGAAAAGGAAATGATCCTGTTACATTGTAAAGATCAAGAGTAATTCAAGATAGACTGGTATTTTACATAAATGACTGTAATAACTGGTGGGTAGAGTCTTCTGAATATCTGTGTGTAGGAGGTTCTCAAATCTATTCGACTCTTCTCTGGGGTTGCCAACTTTCTAATTGCACAAAACCAAACACCTTTTCCCCAAGGCTCCACCTGTGCCCCTCCCCTTCTCCGACACCTGCTCACTCCATCCCCCTCCCTCCATCACTTGCTCTCCCCACAGTCACTCACTTTGACTGGGTTGGGCAGAGGGGAGAGGGGTGGGAGAAAGAGGCTGAGGGTTCCGGATGGTGGTGTAGGATCTGGGATGGGACAAGACATGTGGGGTTTGGGTTGTAGAAGGGGCTCTGGGCTAGGACAGGGGTTCTAGCTGGGGGTGTGGTCTCTGGGGTGGATGAGCAGTTTGAGGAGTAGAAGGGGGCTCCAAGTGGGGAAGGATGTTCAGTGCAGGGGGTTAAGGGCTCCAGCTGGGTTCAGAAATGAGAAGTTCAGGGCTGGGTCAGGGGTTGAGGTACATGAGGGAAGTTGAGGTGCAGTGTTCTAGTGGCATTTACCACAGCTCCCACGAAGAGACCGCCAGGTCCCTGTAGTCCCTAGGTACGTGGTGGCCAGGGGGGCTCTGCATGCATGCTCTCGTGCTACAGGCACCACCCTTGCAGTTCCCACTGGTCACAGTTTCCAGCCAGTGGGAACTGCAGAGCCACACTTGGAGCTGGGGCAGCACACTGAGCCTCCCTGTGCCTGCAGGGACATGGCTATTGCTTCTGGGAGCCTTGCAAGATCAGGCCAGGTAGGGAGACTACCTTAGTTCTGGGTCTCTGTTGTGCTAGCACCTGTACTTTTAATGGCCTGATCAGCTGTGCCAACCAGAGCTGCCAGGATTCCTTTTTTTACCTGGTGTTCCAGTTGAAAACCAAATTCCTGGCTGACTTCTTCTTCTTTCAATTCTAAGATTATTTTTTCTCAATGTTATACTTTGGCTAAGTGAGTTGTAGAACTTATCACCTTCAGACTTCTGGTTTACATACTTACTAATCAGTAATGGCCAAAAATTAATGTTTTTCAGTGACACGAGGAAAATAAGTGGATGGTGTCTTAGTTCACAATTAACAGGAATTAACATCACAAAAACAGTCCCTTCTGTTAGCACTAAGAGGTATCATTGTGCGAAGTCTCACTAGTTCAAAAAGCGGAGAGAGACTGAACTATGGTACCATCTTCTTTATCTCCAGAGCAGTCCATTCTTGGTTATATAAGTTACATGAGTAGAGCAGAATGCAGAAGCTAGCACTGTAGCTAAGCATGTTTGTTTATAAAAATATTTCTTAGTCCAAGGCTTTCAGTCTGGCCCCTTTTGCAAAAACTAAAATCATATTGTCAATAAATGCAATGCTGCCTATTAAATGATAAGTTCAACAAATGTTAATACTCTTAAGAATTTGAATACATCTTGGAAATTGAATTATTTGTCTTCTTCAGACTCATGCCCAATATTGTGCAATGGAAATGGAGAATATGAAAAAGGTCACTGTGTATGTCGCAATGGATGGAAAGGCCCAGAGTGTGATGTACCAGAAGAACAATGTATTGATCCAACTTGCTTTGGCCATGGTACTTGCATCATGGGAGTATGTATTTGTGTCCCAGGATACAAAGGAGAAATTTGTGAGGAAGGTTTGTGTCATTTCTGATACTGTTAAGAGTTTCTGAGATAACTTATCAACCACAATGTAAATCTTTCCCTGTGCATAACATTGGAAGACAAGACCATTCTTTCTGTTCATCCTGGTTGATTATTTTCAATGGCTATACTATCATTAAGCTAGTGACAACACACTTTGTTTCCAATAGTGTACACTTTTTAAGGGCAAACTATTTTAAATTAAGTACACAAGTTAAACTTGCACATGTAACCCGTCTGCTAGGTAGCACCAGCTGCAGCTAGGGCTGAGTTGAATATCTAGGGCAGTGGTCTCCAACCTTTTTACACCCAAGATCACTTTTTAAATGACAGACCAAGCCAAGATCTACCGCCCCACCGCTTCCTTGAAGCCCCGCCCTCTCTATTCTCCTCCTCTCCATCACTTGCTATCCCCAATCCTTATACTGCTGCTTATTTTTTTTTTTTTTTCTGTAGGAAGAGGTTTTTCCAACATTTGGCCTGTCTACACTGGACCAAATGTCAGAAAAAACCCCTTCTTTTGGAAGCCACCTTATTCCTTGTGGAAAGAGGAATATAGGGGTGACCAAAAGAGCCTGTTTGTTCTTCCACTAAAAAAGCGGAAGAACAAACGCAACCCTGGATGCAGAAGAGTTTTTCTGGGATATCTCCAGAATCCTGAAAAACTCCTGCAGTCTAGCTGGACCCTTGCTGTGTTGAGACAGGATGTGTAGGCTCTGGGGTGGGAATGAGGGATTTGGGTGTGGGAAGGAGTGAGAGGTGCAAGTTCTGGGAGGGAATATGGATGCAGGAGGAGGTGGAGAAGGGGACACTGGCTCGGGGAGGGAGCTCCAGGCTGGGCAGTGTTGGGATACTAAGCAAGCTCAGGCTTGCAGATGTGAGGGTGCAGGAATTTGGGTTGTGGTATGTGAGGGGCCGAGGGTATGAGGTTCCAGTGTTTGATAGGCTCAGATCTAGGGTCTGAGGAAGGGGGAGTGTAGGAGTGGTTGTGGCCAGATGGGGGCTTGGCCCCAACTGGGGGTTTGTTGGACAGACTTCATTTTTAAATAAAATACTATGTTAAACACAAAAAGTTTCTGCATTGTGCATCCCTTTTCCGTAAAAGGGATGCAAATTAGACACATCGCAATTGCAAATGAAACAGGGATTTAAATCCCCCACGCTTCATTTGCATAAACATGGCTGCCACTTTTTTCTTGCTCCCCCCCCTGCTGCCG